AAAAAATCCACCCAAGCTGGGGAATTCAGGATGAGATGATGATGATGATGATAATGATGACGATTTCTTTGTGAAAGAAAGAAAATGGCCGCATGCTTTGGCCAGGGGCTGCACCTCGGTCAGCTCTTTGGTAGCTATGCTAATCGCTATCCCACCAGAGGTAGCTGACATAATGATGCATGGTTCCTTTACTTCACCAGGTAAATCAATTGAGAGTAAATCCTCATGTGCAGTCGTGACCTGCAGCCCCCTTTCTTCCAGCGGTGCAAAAACTGGAGCAATTTGAGTGAGGCACCTTGCTCCAGGGTAGAAGAGCCGGCTCTGGGATTTGAACCCAGGACCCTCCAGGCTGTAGCCCGAACCAGTGCGCCACTCTGCTGCCTGGCGAGGAGAAGAGCTGGAGGGGTTAGTTACAGTACGCAGGCTGCAAGAGGCCTGTGTTCCCCCCGGAATCACTGACTGTGGCTGCAGTTGGTGATAGAAACTCATCTAACAGAAGTTCATCACCTCTCCCTGCCTCAGTTACACTACACCCAGAGGTTTACATTGGGGGTGGACTACACAGCTGGCTTGTATTAAATCCGCTTTGTCTGTGAAAAGAGTGTTTGTTGTCAGTATATTTTTCATCATTTGAAATGTTTGCAGGAAGGATTGCTTTTCTAACTGTATTTAAATAAATTTATTATTCTTGCTCGTAAAAGCCCGCGTTCGGATATGGTTGACTTGCCTTTCTCAAGGGAGCGTATAGTTATGAGGGGGTTTAACTGGAGCTCAGGGACCCTCAGTGAAACAGCTCGTACCAGAACAGAGTTATGGGTTGGGGTTCCTGCTGACCCTTCTCTGCCTTCAAACCTGATACACCCCTGTAAGAGTAAATTACTGCCACAGCGAAAGCAGAGGGGGAAAAGGTTTATTGGGTGTTAGCGAATTTTCTGATCAGTAGATGCTCCTCAGCTGTTCTCCCCAAAAAGACAAAGATCAGAGTAGTCCTGTATGATGTAGGAGATGAGTGCCCAGTGGGTACATCAAACTCGTTTTGCTGTCTCACCTCGTAGGAGAACCCGTTTGGCTCACTGTTCTGGGGTAACCAGCTCAGATCATTGGCAAACTCGCCGAGACTGGTTCCTGGGTTCACCTTGTAGTTCATTGGTGGGTGGGATTGCCAGGATGCCCTGGGGGTAAATGGGACCAGGTTTGTGGACAAGCAA